CGTTGTTTAAGCCTCTATTGGACGCCTACTTAAACTAGCTCTTATCTCACCTTTAAATAAGCTAGGGGCTTGTCCTAATATAGAAAGAAGACTTTTTCCTACTGTTTTAGGCTGCCTAGTGTAAGGCTTTTACTAAGGATACTATTAAAAAGTCCTTTGAAGTTACTAGTATTGTACTACTAAATCTAGACGTTATACTTAAAAGATTCTACTAAGAAGCCTCTAGTTTAGATAAAAGCTTAGCGTTGGTACTTAGTGGTAAGAATTGGCTTAAAATAGAGTCTCTTATACGCAAATTAACACGAGATAAAAGCTTAAAAGAGTCTAAAAAGCTCTGCTGTTCTCTCTACTATATCTTAGTCTAAAATAAGCTACTTTACTATGAGATTTAGGGCCTAAGGGAGGCTCTTTTAGTAAAAAAGAAGTATAAAAAGAAGAGTTATACTTTGCAACTTAGTAACTAGGAGGAGTACCACGGTGGTGTAGTATTTTAGTCTCCTCGTAAGGTCCGTCGGGCTTAGGAAGATGAGATGGTACGATAATAAGAAAAATAAGAACTATAACTACAGAAAATTAGGAGGGCTTACCTAAGGGAGCAAGCTCGGTTGTACAAGCTTTAATAAGCCGAAGAAAGATGGGTTGAAAGAGAGAGACTTAAGGAGGTGCGGGAGAAGGAGAAAGCTGCTAAGATGGCTGAAAAGGCAGCCTAAAAAGCAGCCTGCGACGCTAAAAAAGCTATAAAATTGTCCTAAAACGGTAAGCGCAAGACTTTACAAGCTTCTACTTAAAAGCAGAAGCGTCAGAAACGTGGTAGTGTGGTTCTATCTCATGTACAAGTTGAGGAGGCTGCACCAGCTGCCCTAGCGCGTACCACCCGAACACGGTTGATACGGACCCCTAAAAAATATTCTGAGTAGTACAAATTGTTTATATGCTTGTATTTAGCACAACACCAAGTTGTCGCAATATTATCACGATTTGTGGTGGTTCTACAGCCTCATTTTTCATATAGTTATCATGTTGCCAAGTGGGTCATTGACCGAACTGGGTCATTGGGCGCACAGACATGGTAGTACAACAAAAGCCGGCTGATTACCACCCCCCAAGAAACACCCACGGGTATCGCGTTACGCACTCTTATCACCTACCCCATTTTGGCGGAGCCATTTCGCATCTTTGTGATGCATGCAACCCGTGGCGAGCTGCTAACTTTACCCGGCGTTCATGCCCCACCCCCGCGATGTGGGGTATCTGTCTGCTGCAGCATGTCTCCGGAAAGAGCTGAGTTAGGGAGAAATACGTCTTGACGTCGGCAGATTTGTAAGCCCAGCTTGGATTGTTCAATGATTGGATGCAACGTCCAGTCGCTGTTCTGTGGTGTAAGTAGTGGTGCGTATTGAGTAACGAAGATTCATATTCTGAACATTCCAAGTCCAACACCACAGAGGGGATCGCTTTCACCCCGGTAACATGGCGATTGAACGGTTTTTCGACACGCTACCAGTGCATTTTCTTCAGCACGATATATCCAAGTTTGGCCTTGGCAAAACCGGTTTCGCCGTCTTCGTAGCTGCAACGCTTGTCGTTCTCGCAGATTACGTTTGGATGCTGTACACAAGATCGAAGATGGTAAGACGACGATGCTGCGGTGCCCAATGACCCAAACTGATGCTAAGAAGCCCCCTGGTCCCTTTCCTTACCCCATCGTTGGCAACACATTTCAGCTCCCCGATAATAAGCCTTGGATATACTTTGAGACACTATCGAAAAGGTATAATACGCCATTGATCACGTACTGGATTGGGCGCAATCCCACCGTCTGGATCAACGACGCGTGGACGGCGAGCGAACTACTTGACAAGAGAGCAGGTATATATTGCTCAAGACCCCGCATGTTGGTATTTGCCGAACTGGGAGCCGGCCAGAACAATCTCGTCAATCTCATCACCACGACACCCGCTCAACGAGAGCGCTTCAGAATTTTGCGGAAGTTGACACATCAAGGTGTCGGAATCCAGCAGGTGAAGAAATATCGCAATTTCCAGAATGATGAAAGCAAAATTGTCGCCCTTGAGCTTCTGCGGTCCCCTGAAAATTTCGTGGCACACTTTGAACGATACGCGACAAGTGTCGTATCGATTATCGGCTTCGGAAGAAGAGTTTCAACGCCCAAGGATCCCATTATTTCCGAGGTGATTGCAGTGATGCATCGCGCTGCCGACCTCAATGTACCCGGAAAAACTTTCCCGATGCTGATGGAAACCTTCCCAGCACTCGCCCGTGTGCCGACCGAGTATGCGCCATGGAAACATGGGATGGGATCGAAAAGGCGTCCCCATCGCGGCCATGACTTCTTCTACTCCCTGGTCAGTGAGGCAAACGAAAAGCCAGGACATGATGACTGCTATGCGAAGATGTTGTTTAGAGAACAAGAAAAGTACGGATTAAAGAACAAGGAAATCTCTGCATTAGCCGGAAACCTGTTTGGTGCTGGGTCGGACACCTCAAGTAGCACACTCATCACAGCTGTGCTTGCAATGCGTGCTTTTCCAGAAACTCTCCATGCTGCGTGGAAAGAGTTGGATCGTGTGGTAGGGCCAGACCGAAGCCCGGCTTTTGAAGATGACGCGAATCTGCCCTACATGCGCGCCTTTGTCAAGGAAGTTTTCAGGTGGCGGTCTGTTGCTATCATTGGTGGACAGCCACATGCGCCAGTGCAGGACGATTATTACAACGGCTACCTGATACCGCAGTCGGCCTGGGTACAAGGCAATGTATGGGCCATACACCACAACGAACGCGATTTCCCAGACCCAGATCGTTTCAACCCAAATAGATTTTTAAAAGATCATCCAGACTCCCGGCCTTTCCCTGGGGAGCGCGGTTACATGACATTTGGCTGGGGACGACGAGTGTGCTCCGGCCAGGCGCTTGCTGAGCAAGGGACGTGGCTGACGGTTGCCCGACTGGTTTGGGGCTTCAAGATTGAACCGGCACTAGATGAGCATGGGAAGCCAATACCTGTCGACATTTTCAATTATACGTAAGCGCTTTGTAACTCTTCATCATAGGGGAAAGGCTCACAACATCGTAGCAATGGCTTGAACATGCGTCCGCAAGTTTTCAGGGTAAACATCAAGCCACGAAGTGAGAAGATCCGGCAAGCGATTGTACGCGAAGGAGAACAGGCACTATTAGATCTCGCACCCTACGAGGGCGAGACAAAATACCGGATGAGTACGTTTTATGGAAAATAGAGTCCCGTCATAAACGTCACTTGAGTCCTCGAAAAGCTACGTCGGCGCAAGGCCGGTGAGAGATGTACATTAATGATATGGAATTACTGAGTGCGGTGATGGCTTCCTGTATCGCAACCTCTAGGCGAAATTATCAATCGGCGCGCATGTTTTCCTGCGATGGGTGACGATTGTGGTGGCTTCGCCTTGAACATCAGAGCTGTACGCCGCAATCAACGGGAGATCAAAGCCTGCCACTTCGGGAAACCGCGATAAGATAAGCACACACGGTCCACAACCCCTTGTTTCGGATCCGGCGCCGTTGTCTTCCTTCGTCTCGTGTTATTTCACTCGAGTCACGTGTTCTACTGTGTCAGCAGAGCTCATACCGACCTTCATTTGACGCTTCAAATAGCAATCAGTACAGCTTGCCCAGGTGGTGGCAAGGGTATTGCAATAGGGCAACGTCGCACATTGTTACTTCTACATCTTCCTGACTCAAAGCGCAGCGACGCCACAAAGCCTCTACATTCTGAGCTAGCTATGCGAGAATCAGGGAGCATCAGAATGCGTAGCGATTCATGCAAAACAACCTTGCAATGTTCGAAACACGAAGGATTTTATGATCTATAATTTCGGGAGACATAATTGCTCCGGCCGACAGCGGATTGGTAGACGGATGATAGCAGGAAAAAAGCAGATAAGCTCCCAATGGCTATGCACCATGTTCTTTGTAGTGCAAATATTTGTCTGTGCCGAAAGATTCTTTGATGGTCACGGGGCTCCGCGTTCAATACACCGCGTTGTCAATTTGTTTGCCCCTGGGACGTAAGCGGTAGGTACCTCCCAAGTGCTGGCCGATGCCTACTGCAATCTTCCAGTCTGAAGACTAACAGAAGGAGGCGCGAGCGCGAGCAGCCAATATCTCTCGGGATCGGAAGACCCTTGGAGACATCATTGGACGTCGTGAAGAAATGATACTCAAGCGGTGAAGTAAGAAGCCCGGCTCACAAAAGGAAAAGATACCACTGGTGGCATGGCCAGGCATTATATCAGTTCTGTTATAGGCTGCCTCAAGAACCCGGGTCGTTTGTGATCCGGTTCCAATTTTGGTCCCCACGTCATGTGCGTGCAGTCGAACGACTGGTGCCACTTCTCAATTTCCTTGGCAACTACCAACAACTGTCGAGGTTCGGGCTCCACACAGTGACCGACGATATCGAGAGTCTTGTGAGAAGAGATCCTGAGGTGGCGGCTCTGATCACACCATTGATCGCATAACGCTTCTCGTAGCTCTCGGTTGTATCAGAGTGCCTACATCAACTCCATCGTTTCCAGCCACGGGCACGCAAGATTGAGGACGATATGAATCTCAAGAAATACTAGCTTCTAGCCTAGTATGAAAAACCTTTCCAGGAATGGATATCGATTGTCGAACTCAAAGTCGAGAGCTTACTAGTCTATAAGCATGCTGACCCCACTGATGAGAAATTCAGCTATCCGATCTCCCGCCACGGGAATAAGCAAAATGTTGGCATCATGCGAAAAGCGGAAGCAGACCTCGACGCTTTACGAGATGCAGAAGGTCAACGCTATAGATGTAAGGCCATTAACCCTCAGTATGATTTGGTCGTGCAGCTTCTCGGTAGTGACCGTGTCATCCAACGTACGCCTGCTTGGACGGGACCAGAAAAGAAGAATGGAACCTCGATCGAACCATGGGCGGAGTAAGTGTATAAGCTCTTCTCCAACGTCTGTCACGATGCTGTGAAGCGGATGACTGGTACCTTCAATCGGTTTGATCTCAGCGAGCCTACAACCAAAGCCAAGACTCGTGGCGACATGATCTAGGCGGTTGACATTGAACCAGCGCCTGCCATAGCAGATGAAGTTGCGCAAGCCCCTCAGACACATGTGGTCGACAAGCGTACGTAAACGGTCTTCAAATCGGTCTTCTACTTGCCTTTCAACCCTGACCTCCCCAGAGAAGTCCCCTGGCCCGACTTCTTGCACGCAATGGTCACTATGGGGCTTTCGACTGAGAAGCTCCATAGAACAGCGTGGTACTTTACTACCCACAGTATTGATATAGGTATAGAGAACCATACAGTTTCACAAATCACATCCTAGCAACAAGCGACCGTTCCTTTGGGCCAGGTAATATGGACGGCAGCTGACAAAGGCTTATGGATGGGTTGGCTAAAACATTAGGCTGAAGTGAATTATAGGTGACGAATCTGGTAACATGTTCCCTCATGAATTCGAATATGAGAAGTTCTATAGTAGTCACCCGACACCATTCTTGTGGATCGCACCCAAGTTCAATGGGTGGAACATATGCCAATTTGCAATTCCGGCTAGATGAATCGAAAGGTGGTTAGGGCATTTTTTAAATGCAAACCATAGCTACAATTATCTTTGAGCGGAAAATTTTCAGGCATGATACTCATAAAGCATCAAGAGTTCAGAACTATCCTTCGTGTTTAACGCAGTGTAGGTGTCGCGAATCATCACACAAGAACAGGCAAGTGTTCTACGTCCACCACAGCCGGTTGCCATCGCCGCATCTCGTTATGGCACCAATCACCAACAAGACGATCAGCCCGTCAAGAGTCATCAGCAAACCCGCACCCAAGTCGGACGCCCACTTCAAGGCGTCAAACGGCAGTATCGAACAACAGAGAAAACTCCAAGTCTGGATTGAACATCTGGACAGAGTAGGTGGCTTGGAGGGGAGGTTGCGGATTGATGCTCTCATACTGGGTCTCAGTGCCGATCATCACAATTCGATGCCAACTAGGGACGAAGATTGGAGCTACGGCATGAAAAACTGGGATACCGATTTAGCGGCTGGGAAGGAGGGGCAGGAAGAAAAGCCAACCAACGGTGGGAAGAAGAGCAGTTGAACATTGAGGGACTTCGTGGAGAGTGGTAAAGATGGACAGAGAGCGAGGTGTTCTCTGCGCCAAACTCGTTGCGCCATCACCGTCCTGCTCTTAAACGGTTTCCAAATCATGTTCCTACACGCGGAAATTCAAAACTGGCAACGCGATCTGTTCGTGGAGTGACTAGACATGAGACTTGGAAATGAACAAAAGAATTCCCCTGCAACTAATTCAATGCATAGACCTGCACGATCGCGCACGTGATGTATCCATGGCGCCGCCGATTGCTACAATGAGGTGTCACGATTGCGCCGAGAACCGATCGTGATACAGGTTTAGTGACGCGGAAAGCGGAAAGGGTGGTGGCCCGTCCATGGCGCGATGACGATTTTGGCGAGCACTGCCCGCCAGGTGGCAAACTGCAGCACGATCACCTACCTAATTTCCGCAGCACGCCGGTTTGTCAACTTGTCGCTGTGAAAGAGTGGGCGCACGCGCAAATAAACAATGCGAAAGGGCCGAATGTGATGGGAAAAGTGCATGCCACATGTTGCAAATGATGCAGGTGTGACGAAGCTGGTCACCGTAGCCAACTTTGGAGGGCGACGAGCACGATCCCACGTGATAGCGCGCTTGGCATTGAGGCGGAGTGCTCGGACGGCGGAACTGGCGAAACGTTGACCGAACCTCTTCCTGTCAACCTCTCCTTTGCCTTCAAACACCCATCGTCAACACCAATGTCTTGCAGTCGATGGTTTCCTCGTCGCAGGGTGATGTGGGCCTCATCACCTACCCAGCCATTGTCAACATCGCCACGCTGGTCATCTTCTTTGTTTATCTTGTCATCTCCATCTGGCTCATAATCCGACAAGGGCTCGGTCGCAGCTCGCCATGGATCTGGCTCACCCTCTTAGCTGTCTGCCGTCTCACGCAGGTCTCTCTCGATTTGGCCGCCACCACCATGTATCCGATTGGAGAATCATCAAACACGAGTCTGGAAAGCGGTGTCGCGATTTTAACCACCATGGGGCTGACACCCCTGTTCATGTCAACAAGCAGCTTGCTCAACGCGACCACGAGGCCCAAAGGACGACGCATGCAATGGATCCTCCTCATGGTGCACATTCCGCTCATCATCTCGTTCATCCTCATCGTCGCTGGCGGCATCGATCCAGACTCACGAGACGGCCCCACTTTTGCCGCTACGGAGGCCACCAAGGCCGGTGTCTCGCTGTACTTGGCGTGTTTCCTTGTTCTCATCTGGTCAACCACGGTCATCTCGGCACGTCTGTATCTGGCTGATCGAGACGAAGTTCGCATTCTTACGACTGTCGTGCTGAGTCTACCATTTTTCGTCGTCGACGTCGTGTACATGATGTGCTTCGCCTTTGAGCGCTGGGCCGTTGACGACTTTGAAGGATGGCAGCATATGCGCTTCAATGTCATCAGCGGCAGCGTAACTATCCAGTTGTGCATGTAAGTATACCGCCACCGACGCGATTGCTTTTCTTTCCGCCTTCGACCGTCGGCATATGACGTCACGCATTAGCTGATATAAACCCAGGCAAGTGATTATGGAATGGATCATTGTTGGACTGTACTTGGCCTTGGGCTTGGAGTTGCCCAGTAAGGCTGCTAGACTCAGGCAACAGATCGAAGACCAGATGGACCAAGCAAGGAATATCGATGTCGACGCGCTGCAAGAGACGGTTTTATGGAAGCTACACGATGCTGTTTCCCGAATGGTCGCCGCAATGATCATGCCAGCTCTCCAATTCGCCCACTGGATGTTGGGTAAAATATTGAAATCCGGGCAAAACAACAATTGACCCGCAGAAGAAGCTAGCATCGATCAATCGCATTGTATCAGGCGATCCACAAAGTTCATTCCACTTACCTCTTACCACCGCGTCTAGCCCCGCAGCTTATGCACACTTTCGCGCGAAACGAACGAAGCCAACGTACCCTATTCCCGGATGGACAGGCTTCCAGATGCCTGCTCCAATGTTGAGCCCAACATTTATGATTGCCAACACGATCTAGCGCAAACACCCAGGGGCCTCAAATACATGTTGGGAGTGATCGATTCGCTACAGGCCGCTTACCTCAGCTGATCAGAGTGCATTCGGCCCGGCTACATGCACCCATCTGTCAGGATCAAGCATGGGGAAATTGCTCTAGGCCTGATAGCCGCATGAAGCCAAGATGCAAAACGAAAGTTTTGCAAGGAAGTCACGCCGCAATATTCCCGACATCTTGTTATCCGCACTGCCCGTATTTCCAGACGTAGTAGAACAGCGCGTAGCGAAACTTTGAGGCGAGGAGAGAGCAAGAGAGTGGAGACGAGGAGCAGGGAAACAGGAGTCCAGGTGGAGTTTACCCCCATCGAAAAGAGGCAGAGCATACATTCTCAGCGACTAGAAGATTGGAATTTCGATAATGCACTTTTTTTTTCAACATCACCGTCAGATAATGTCTTCATTATACTGCGTTTAGTCTTTAGGACATAACCTCTGTATCCTGAAGCTTCTACGAAGCTACAAATCATACATGTACCCTTTAAACCGCAGTCCTCAATTTGCATGCTGCGAGCCGGAGCTGGAGCTACAGCTTTGCTATGATTGTATATGCGACACCTACAGCTACGTCGGGAAGCCCGACTGCTAATCCTTATAGTTGGAACACATGCGCGGCCTATGAAGGGCCTCCGCGATCCGGTCAGGGGCTGTGGAGCTATGTCGCGCTCAATCATGCAGTTAGGTCGGATCGCATCGGGTGCCAAGGCCCCGAAATTACGAACACGTTCAGATACTGTGTAAAAGATCCCAAGATATCTTGTCTTCTGCTTTTTTGTCTTCTTTACACTCAAATCTACTCGTCTATAGAAAAAGTCCACGCGAACGCCACTTGATCTGTTAAATTCTAGTTCAAAGACAAAAACAACGTACCCACGGATTTCACGGACCAAAAACCAACTTACTTGATGTTATGTTGGCGCGATCGAGTCTGAAAACCGCTATACAAAAACGGGGTTTGTATCGATGTAAAATGCCCTTTATGAAGCTGCATCTATGACCATGAAAGATTTTTTTTTTCAAAATCAGATGGCTAGAGTTCGCATTGCTGCTTCTGCCTTCTGCCACGATTATCAAGTACAAAAAGCGGATCTGGGCCTTTCCATGTTGTGAAAGCGATGGCCTTGCTAGGCCTTGCGATTTGTGGGAGTAATGAAAATGGTTAAATTCCGGATCCGAATTTCACATGTCTGCGCGAGCACCCGGAAGTGGCACCCTTTGCACTAGAGTGCTGGTGTCAGGCCAGGCTGACGATATATACTATCTTGCACCGTGGTCATTAGTTCACTGATCATACGTACCTTTTTGGTTACATGGCGTAGAGTTGTAGGGCTGTGTCCTGATAGTTGGGCCGGATTCTAAAAGCCTTCTGCACATCATTATGCGTCCATCTAAAGCGCATATTAATATCCCCGTGAACTCTGTACCTTTTTGTCTTTAATCTCACTCTCGCTGTTCCTTCTACATCAACACGAAACTTCAGCATTTGTAATTCAATGTCTGACCTTGCCGTGGCAAAAGAATGACCCGTGTTGATATTCACCTGATAGAAAATCCTTTAGACTGCTTTTACCAAGATATAATAACGCTCCGCGAGACGTTATTAAGGTAACCGCTAAAGAATACTATGACTGATGGGCCAAGACTAACCGTATCAATTATGCCTCCAGCGTCCCCAACGGATACTCAACTGGAATATTGCCTCGATCCGGCGTGACCACTGGCACGCTCTCATAAGCGGGTACTTCTACTACGTTTCTTGCCCACACCGGGCTTTTTCGCACTTTCAACAACTGCTCAACAGCATATCCAACACCCAGCAACTTTTGTTCATCCCAAGGTCTACCCAGAATTTCCATACCTATCGGAACGCCGATGGGCGCTTCATCGCTCGGTTCAGAGAAGCCTGCG